CGCAGTGTAGCAAAAATTTCAGCTGAAATGTCCATGAATAATGAACTTTAAGGTGCATTAGTGACAGCCGCAATTCCGTAAAAACTTGTACTGAACTGAAAAATTGTGCAAATTAAGCTATCAGATATATTGAACGGATTTTTGAATTTCATGTCAAAAACTAGTTGAAAAAAAAAACCTTTAAAAGTTTCGAAGATCATGCCTGGCTTATTTTTCAGGTAAATAGTTCCACTGACGAAATGAGGAAGATGAGGTTTAAAAATTGAGGGGAACGTTTTTTTGATAGATGTGATTTAGTTTATTTTTAGTTGGCTATTAAAAAATAGCAAACGGTAGCAATTTCAGCTAATTACCAAGAGTAACTTAGTTCTCTCTTCTACTTCGGGTTTCCGTCATCTGGCGGACCACAAGTGCAATGTTTTTAACAAATTCTTTTTCAGCAAGTTCTCTGCAACTTTGACTAATCAGTATACTAGTCATTGCCCTTTCTTTCAGTGCGAGCAATGAAACAATATTTCTACGTACTATTTTTGTCTCAAGGCCAGCTTGGGCGCGTTTTATGGCTCAAAACGTGCGTTTTGTGTCAACAGAGACATTTTTAACTTTAGCACCACCTAAAACGAACGTTTTTGGAAATAAAGAAAAAAGGCATATTTTTTCAATAATTCTAATTTTGCAGTCATTTATGAAGCCGTTATTTATAATTTCTTCGAAACAATCTAACGGCTACGCAGAAGTTGTGCAATTGCTATTTTTACTTTCAACAATAGGAAATAATGGCTCAGATCTCTGTCTTTAGCTTTGAAGAAGTAGGAACATTAACTCCGATAAAAAATCTACAAATGCCGGTTATCAATGATAAAAACTCTCAATAACCATGTTTTATATTCTTCAAATTCTGTTATTGTTTTGATTGCGGACAAAGTTCTTTGTACGCAAGTCTCTGCCATTTTTCTTTGCCGTTATTCTTTGTTGTACTAAGAACTAAGAAAACACCAATTAAAAGCAGCTTCAATTTTTTCTCGCATTATCAAATTTCTGGTTCAACAGGTATTTTTGAACATTTTAACCATAAATTATCTCATGTTTAACCACTTTATGACCACTGATAACTATTTAAACTGTTTCACCACCACATATAGCATTTTTATTTGAACAAAAAAAATAGCCATTTTGTCAAACAATTAGTTTTTGAATTCTTTTTTAAATGCAGTTAGAGTTGCTTTAAAACAATCTACTCTAAAAACAGCTCGACCCGCACCGAAGTTTCTCGGATAAAAATTGATTGTATTGAGAAAATGTTGCACAAAATCTATTTTTTCGCTCTGAAGTCGCCATGAAATTGCAATAAAATTGATTGCTTTCGCCATAAAATTGCAATAAAATCCATTGTTTTTGCCATAAAACTGCCATACAATTGCAACAAAAACTATTGCTACTGCCATGAAATAGCAATAAAATTGATTATGTTGTCAAAAATTTTGATTATGTTGTCAGAAAAATTTATTTTTTTCTTCTTAAAAGCATGCTATTTGAAAACTCAAAACAAAAATTGAATTCAAACCAAACGACACAAATCATGAAAATCATCAGTACAACAAGATTTTTGACACTGTTTATTTTGCGTTGGAGAGAAAATTTGGCGCAATATATCAAAGCGTTATTATCAAAACGACTTTCTTCTTTATAAAAAATTGGTATATGCATAAATAAACCTTTCTGTGTAAACTGTGGACAAGCCAGATATGGCCATACCAGCATATCAAAAACATCGACACATTGTATATCTTTAATTGAAGTCATAAATCAGCACCAAATGCAGTGTGAAGTATGGAAATGTTGCTACGCGCGTTATAACTTCTAAAAAAACTGATAAATTTGCTTTTTCGACGTTAATAAGGATTTGTATGACTTTCAGACGTAAGTGTATCTTTGCGAATTGGCGTATCCATCATTAGGACAATTTTTCAAGGAAAAAGGCAATTTCAAAAAAGTCAATTTCAAGAATAATATAATAAGATGTCCAATAAAAAAGTCCTTAATATACTATCAGATAGAGTGATGGCCGGCGCTTAGAGAAAACTGAGTGCAGAATAGAAAAAATCACTTACCAGTTTAATTAATGATCCCGTGTTCGACAATTGTGCATAATTATAACTGTCCGATGTATTGTATAGTGATTCGAATATGTATATGTGTATGATGTTTAGCAGCTATATTAAAAAGAAAATCCTTGCTCCTGCTGAAACTGCACATTTATTTTTTCAGTTGCTTTCAAACATATGCATCAGGTAATGTAGAAATAAAACAAGCTGTGATCTGCGTTTAGAACCGTACGAACGAAGATCAAAAAATGTTGACAGTGTGCTCTACACTTACCAAAAAATAGTACGTAGGTTTAAAAAAGCAAGTTTCTGCTTTACAAATGCTAAATATGCAATGACATAGCACTTTTTGCTAACTTCATTTAAAGTAGACAAACAATTGGCAATGAAAGGAATGGAAAATATCGACAAATTTTTTATTCTTTAAAAGTTTTCAAATGCTCTACTAACTACAAATGAGGATTCATACATAATAATTGTTTTATGAATACATTTAGGTATATAAAAGCTAATTTTGAGTTCAATTGAAAACCCTCTAATATAAATTACTAAGGTTTTTACAGCAAAAAAAATGAAAATAACATTCTAAAAAGCCCAATGCTTTAGTATAAAAATTAAGCATCGATTAAACGAAGTCGGTAATATATATGGATGAGAAAATGGGTAAACTATTGACCAGATGCTTAATAAGTTCATTAGTTGAAACTATGTCATGCACTGAGAGGAAGCTGGGGGAAGCGTAGCGAAAATCATCAATTAGTTTAATAATGGACCCGTTTTTGATAATTGGGATAAAATAAAATCTTTGAATGTGATGTATATGGACGGCAATTGATTCGATTTCTTGAAACCATCTTTGAGATTTTGTTTCAGGTTTAGAGAAAAATTGAACAAACTACTATTTAAAATTTTCAATTGTTCAATCAAAGTCAACATAGAGCAAAAAAAGGTATCGTTAAAAACTCAATTTTGATTATATATCCTTAGATCGATAAAAAATTTCAAATTGAAGTGAAAAGTATATTTGTATTTAAGATCTTCAGTCAATGAAACGAACGGCAACCTTCCCGCTACAAGCAGAGACTTCTAATACTTTTTTGAAAAAATTTAATTCCGATGGCAGATAAAGATGCCAAACAGTACAGATTGTCAGAAATAAGACACACTCTTATCAAAAGTTTTTGATAGTCTCAAAGAAAACACCATAAGTGCAAAGCTAGAAGCTAAAAATGCTGAATAAATTGGTTGACTAAATTAAACGCTGACTATGCACGGTCTTGCGCTACACCAATTACACTAATGGAAGTTCAATCAGCCTTATTCTTATGAATGTCACCTAATCATTTTAAAAAGAGTTAAACTTTTTGAAAAAAAAACTTCAGCGGCGACAATTGTGTTTCGAAGGGAAAATTTTCATAACTCTGAAAACTCCTGAAAACCGTCTGACTCTTAATGATTTGAAGTAATTTGATAATTATCACTAATAAATTCTTTCTTATCACGATGATTATTGAAACTAGGTTTCTCTGTAATGAAACAGTTTTGTGCAATGGTAAAGGAAGTAAACAAAAAATTTGCTCTTTATTTTGAAATTTCTTTCTTTGACCATGGTTACTTTTGCTAAAATAAAACTGAAATGTTTTTTTTTAATTTGAATTCAAAAAACATGAAAAAAAAAATTTCAGTTTAACATAAGCAAAAATAATTATGTCCAAATAAAGAAACTTTAAAATAAATTACAAAATGATTACAATTGTTCTCAAAACATATCCTTATAATATATAAAACAACTTTGAATTTAATTTTTTGAAGCCAAAGGAAACCAAAATCGTTTTTATGAAACTTTCCTATCAAAATCTTTTTTCTTGACAGTTTGTATTAAGTAGGAAAAAACTCATAATGAAAATTTTATAAATAAAAACGCCTGAAAGATAAGTAAAAACTTTTGAATACGAAAAATAGAATAAATCAGATGAGCATCATATTAGTTAGAACGCAAAAGTATGAACGACCTTTTGTTTTTAACCAAGACAATTATGAATGCCTCATGATAGCATTTTAGAGGCTGCTCGATCGTTACTCCTGAATTTATTTTAAGCAATTTTAAAATTTATTGTTGACCCTGACTTATTTGCTTCGAGCTTCCATGAAAAACTGTAAACAGTAATTTTGAAAAATTTTACCGAGCTCTCACAAAATCAGACCAAAACTTTTTTTATTCAGTTAAAATAATTCAAAAACCAAAAGGACAAGAAGGAAAAAAACTCAGTCGACAAAATGTGATGCATTTTCTGCTGCTGATTTAGCGTTTTCAGAAAAACTATTCTGGTGAGAAGAATACAGGGTGTTTTGATGGCACAAAGCAATAAGTTTGTTTAAGAACATTACGAGGCAAAACTGTGCACTGGATATGCGCACAATTTTGTGTCTGTATGTTCCTGGATTCCAGACACAAGTCTTTAAACATATTAAAATTTTGTCGGAAGGATCAAAGGAAATGAAAGAACAAAAGAAGAACAAAGGGAGCGTCATTGTTGCGGAATCCGCTGACAATGCACAAAATGCACAGTTTGGCCTCGTAATGAAAACTAGTTGAATCAGTTTTCATTGAGCTGTTTGGAAGCAAAAAAAAATCATTTTCAAACTTTGCTTAGCAGTTTGGGAAAAGTTTATTGTGAACCTATCAAACCACTCCCAGAAGCCCAATTAAATCATAGCTAAACAGTTGTCCTAAGTTTGAATAAGACACTTATACTCCACATGGCCACCAAAAAACGTTTGTATCTAAATTGTATGATTACTAAAATTATATTTCAATAAGATGAAACTATTAATTAGGAAACGGTGTCCTTTCTAAAACCCTCCAACACTATGTTCAATTTTGAACAAACTTACCTCAGTCTCCTGACAACATTTTTTGTAGCCGATGATAAATTCCTTTAGAAAACAAGTGTGGATAACATTTAGACACGGAGAGTTTGATAGTTAACAGAAAATACGTCTGACAAAAAAGACCGAATTAAAGTACGACTGGAACATTGAGATTCGCAGACGCATTCAAAATTATTTGTCAATTGTGAACGAGTTAGAAAATGTTGAAAATGTAAAAGAAAAAATATTTGTAGGTGTTTAGTGGACATGCAATCTTTTACTCATTTAACCATTTGGCTGACAGATTAAAGCTTTAGAAAAGTAGCTTACTCAAAACCATTATTAACTACAAGTACTACAAAACCATCTGACCGTCGAAGACTTGTATAGCAATCCAAAACGATATAAGCTTAGTCGAGTCGAGACTTTAGAAAAATACCATGTACTGATTGAAAACTGAACAACTAGACAACAGAAAACAGTGTTACATTTGCAAAAAGAAAGCAAGATGCATTTCAAATCAATAACAAAACCAGCAAAATCAAAGATAAAAATTGAGTCATAGTATGCACAGTCCCCCACAATGAAGTGTCAAAAAAATTGATTAAAATAGATATTTGTTGGCAAAAATGTTGTCTAAATAATCGATTATAGTGGAAAATTTAGACAACGTAATGGATTTTTAATCCAATTTCATCAATTTTTTTTCGAAAAATGAAAATCCATTATAATTCATTTTTTATGTATCCCCTTTACCCCCACGTAACCAACCTCCACCCCCAGCCCCCCCCCCCCCCCGCCCACCCCACAATACCCACAATCCCTCCTTTTGCGCATTTAAACCCAAACCACCGCCTTCCTACGCGTTAACCAAACCCCACACTAAACACCCCTAGCGGGACAGGCAACTGTAATTGGGGTGAACGTGAGGGGGACTTGATGTGTGATCTAAAGGTAACATTTCGTAAATTCTCAGAAACTCTATTGAAAAAAGGAAAAAAATGAAATTTAGCGAGAGAACAAAATAAACTTTAATTCAACAATATTATGAAAACGCGAAAACAACACACAAAAAGATTTCATTAAATGGATTTTGATTGCATTATAATCGATTAAAATTGATTAATTTTTTGATAAAAATTTCTTGAAAATAATCGATGATAATTGATTATAAACGATTATATTGGGACTTTATTGCTCAAAAATAGTATCACTATAATTCATTTTCAATCGATTATAATCAATTATAATCAATTATTTTTAATATTTTCCAGAGACTGACAAGAAAAATCCAATTTGATCGATTATTATCCATGAAACTTCAGTGGTTGGACACAGCTATTGTGCAATTGCTATTTTTTCATTGATCAAGCATCTCAGAGGAATTATTACAAATCTTATCTATTCGCAAAATAACATGTCGTGACCTCCGCGCATCGAATTGTTCATCGAACATTCAGATACACGGACCCACGCAATTTTGCACGCGCCGAGCTTTAGGTTTTTTTATGCTTCCGTTTGATGGAATGAGTTATCTTCTGTCAGAGAACTGGGCAGATTTTACAAAAAAAAATAGTTGAAACTTCTTACCATATACAAACAATCGTTTGTATCTTTAGTTCTGAGTTTTTTATGCAATATTATCTCTGGTCAATAATCCGCTAATGAAAAATTTCCACGAAGTTTCTTCACAGCAACTGGCTGTGATGCCGGCTCCAAACATACTTCGAAAAAAAAAGTTTTAAAAAAAGACGATGATCATTCCTGCCAGATATATCACGTAAATGGGTTCAATGGAGCTTCACTGAATGTGAGGTAGAGACTGTAAAAGAAACCTTTAAAGTTTGACATAGAAGCCGTAAGTGGAATTTGCAAGGTTATTACACAAAAAGTTCCAAATGCACCTTATAACCAACAATTTCCTATTTTGTTCGCCAAACAGTTATTAATGGTTTAAAATAATACTGGCAAGGACTGCCAAGACCAGATAACTACAAAACAAACAAGGATAGCCGTTTACTTTGTATAGAATGTTCTGTATTAATGCAATATAGCATTAAAGTTGAAAGTATAGTATAAAATCAGTATAGTTGCTTAGAAATATCAGCTACATAGCACAGCATATACATAGTTTGTTCCGAGGGTTCCGTGGGTTCGATTCTCAGCTAAGCCGTTTCATTTGAGAGTCCTATTTGAGCCGAACCTGTTAGAACATAAAATACTAAAATTTTTATCGGTTTAAAATTGTTTTGCAATTGAGTTTCTGTTAATTAAACTTCGTGAACTAAGAATGAATTCAATGTGAAAAAACACATAAATCACACCATATTAGCGCATGAACAAGCCCACTTTCAAACTTGATATGTGTAATGTTGTTGCTAACTCCGTGCAATATGATTCTCTTGAATTAAGCCGATTCTGTTTCCTGATTTTTTTTCGAGTTTTAAAAACGGGCAGAATATTTTGGTGCCGCGACTCGGGAACACACGATTGAGGACCGACCCGAACACGTTTAGTGCGACCTCAAATTGAATCAGGGAACGACCGCTGCACAATTTTGTGCTTCCTCATTCTCCAAATCAAAGAGTTCTTCACAATTTCGTATGAGCTCAAGTCGAAAACGGTGAAAACCACCCCTAGTCAAAACACAGCCGACAACCCAGAAGAACGACATCGCAAAAGGCCGAAAATGTTTTTTTTGTGGATTCTTGGTCAACTTTTCTTCTGAAGCTCGGTGAACTCCCTGCAAAAAATTTGTAAGATCGAACCTGTGTTTTCAACTAACTTTCAGACTCTAATTTGTGCTAGTCTTTTAACCAAAAAAAAAGCTACTTTTTTATTATCAGTGCTTTAAAATAATATACGATGTTATTGATTGCAAACCGTTAAAGACCCCTTTAGATACCCTAATACTCGTTCATACCCAGTACCCTAGTACCCAGGAAAGTCTCGAACCCGAAAAAATTGTGACAAAAAAAAATTCCAGAAGTTTTCCAAAAAGTTTTCGCAAAAATTTTTGCGAAAAAAAAAATCTCGAAAAAAAAATTATACTAATTTTTCCCAAAATTTACAATGACAAAAAAAATTTTGCCCGAACTTAGAGCAAAACCGGAAAACACCGTTTTCGTCTCGCTCGTTCAGCCCTTAAAAGCGTCATTCGTGTCGAGCAAGTTTTTTGAGTGAATCCCTACCTTGGTTTCCTCCAGGGGTTGGATAATCTTTAAAAATTTAAACCCGAACAAACTCGGCGAAGTGCAGCGCGTTTTCAACGGTGCTTCTAAGTTTCACGGTAAATCACTGAATAACTCCCTTCTCGTCGGCTCCGATCTGCTTCAGGAACTGTTATTCGTTTTAGTGCGCTTCCGAGAGCACAATTACGCAGTTTCAGCAGTTATCGAAGGCTTGTTTATGCAGGTCGGTTTACAGATGTGAGTGTATTTCAGTATACAAGGCATATACGTTAAGCAAAAGATTCTCCTTCATGTGCTAACTATGCTCTTCGTCAAACAGCCGTGCTAAAAAACTTTTACATGGATGACTACCTTGGATCTCGGAAAAATCCAGAAACTGCTTTAACGTTAAGTCGCAGTTAAGTTGAACTGCTTAAGTTGGGTAGGTTTAAACTTCCAAAATTTATAAGCAACGTTTCTAATTTGTCCTTGAAACTAAATCCTTGAAAACGTCTGACAAAAAAGACCAAATTAAAGTACAACTGGAACACTGAGATTCGCAGACGCATTCAAAATTATTTGTAAATTGTGAACGAGTTACAACATGTTGAAAATATAAAAGAAAAAATTTTGTAGATGTTTAGTGGACATGCAATCTTTTACTCATTTAACCATTTGGCTGACAGATTAAAGCTTTAGAAAAGTAGCTGACTCAAAACCATTATTATCTACAAGTACTACAAAACCATCTGACCGTCGAAGACTTGTATAGCAATCCAAAACGATATAAGCTTAGTCGAGTCGAGACTTTAGAAAAATACCATGTACTGATTGAAAACTGAACAACTAGACAACAGAAAACAGTGTTATTTTTGCAAAAAGAAAGCAAAATGGATTTCAAATCAATACAAAACCAGCAAAATCATAGATAATTATTGAGTCATAGTATGCACAGTCCCCCACAACGAAGTGTCAAAAAAAATTGAATAAAATGGATATTTGTTGACAAAAATGTTGTCTAAATAATCGATTATAGTGGCAAATTTAGACAACGTAATCAATTTTAATCCAATTTTTTCAATTTTTTTCGAAAAATTAAAATCCATTATAATCCATTTTTCACGTATCCCCCTTACCCCCACGTAACCAACCTTCCCCCCGCCCAACCCACAATACCAACATCCCCTCCTTTTGCGCTTTTAAACCCAAACCACCCCCTTCCCATGCAATAACCAAACCCCCACAAAACACCCCTACCGGGACAGGCAACTGTAATTGGGGTGAACGTGGGGGGGGGGGGTTTGGTGTGTGATCTAAAGGTTACACATCGTTAATTCTCAGAAACTCTATTGAAAATAGGAAAAAATGAAATTTAGCAGAGAACAAAACAAATTTTAATTCAACAATATTATGAAAACGTGAAAACAACACACAAAAAGGTTTCATTAAATGGATTTTGATTGCATTATAACTGATTAAAATTGAATATGTTTTTTTATAAAATTTTCTTGAAAATAATCGATGATAATTGATTATAATCGATTATATTGAGACTTTATTGCTCAAAAATAGTATCACTATAATCCATTTTCAATTAACTATAATCAATTATAATCAATTATTTTTAATATTTTCTAGAGGCTGACAAAAAAAATCCAATTTGATCGATTATTATCCATGAAACTTCAGTGCTTGGACACAGATATTGTGCAATTGCTATTTTTTTATTGATCAAATATCTCAGAGGAATTATTACAAATCTTATCTATTCGCAAAATAACATGTCGTGACTTCCGCGCATAGAATTGTTCATCGAACATTCAGATACACGGACCCACGCAATTTTGCACGCGCCGAGCTTTAGGTTTTTTTATGCTTCCGTTTGATGGAATGAGTTATCTTCTGTCAGAGAACTGGGCTGATTTTACTAAAAAAAAATAGTTGAAACTTCTAACCATATACAAACAATCGTTTTTATCTTTAGTTCTGAGTTTTTTATGCAATATTATCTCTGGTCAATAATCCGCTAAAGAAAAATTT